AAACATGGAACGGGAGCTGGAATATACCGAGCGGATAGAAATTTAAACTACAGCTATCCACTAGGACTATACACGCCGTCTTTCAGGCGGAAGTGTATGCCATCTTGCAGTGTGCAAGGCTTATCAAATTGAAACCTCAAAGAAATGAGCTAATCAATATTTTTACAGGCAGTAAGAGCGCACTTGGGGCTCTGACAAACCCGAAGGTGACATCAAAACTGGTCTGGGAATGCCATGAAGAACTGAATGAACTTGCAAACAGGAACAAATTAACTTTGTACTGGGTGCCAGGGCATTCAGGAATCACAGGTAATGACAAAGCTGATGAATGCGCTAGACGCGGATCATCAACTTCATATATAGGTCCTGAACCAGCTCTGGGGGTACCAAAATCATTGGTAAGAAACCAGATTAGGACATGGACCGATAAGAAGCACACAGAGTACTGGACAAAAGTACCTGGCAACAAACACAGTAGAACCTTCATTAGGGAACCGTCCAAGAAAAGAACCGAAGAACTACTTCAATATAGTAGAAATCGGCTCAGAATAATTACAGGGCTACTAACCGGTCATTGTCCGCTTAGAGGACACCTGAATAAAAAGGGGCTTTACAACGGAGACCTCAGCTGCAGATTATGCAACGAAGGGATAGAAACAGCTCTACACATCTTATGCGAATGTGAGGCACTGAATCATATATGAACGTACGAAATTACATCCAGAAGAATATGACGAACATCCAACACGGAACCTGTACAAACTAGTACAGGGATCGAGACTAATGGAATGAGTCTCATGAGAAGATTGGAGAATAAACGCAATGAGCCCAAGAGGCTGCAGTGTTTTTTGGAGACTTGTACTAAATGGACTAGTCATACATCTCCCAAGGTATCAAAAAAAAAAGTTTTTGTACTTTCATTCTACACGATCTTCTTGGATATACTTGACGATTATCGCACTGATGATGGCGTAAAAGCGGAAAGCGCTTTGCAATTTAGAAATAAATTATTCATACGAAATAGGACTCTAGATCTGATTTATCAGTCACGTGTGACAAGCTTTCAACAAAACAGTAAATTAAATATAAGTGAAATGCTCATTTATAATGAATATTAACAATATTTACAAAGTAGGCAATTTTAAGAAATTTATAGTTCTGTACTTCGGAAGTAAAAGAGCCATTATCCATTTTTCCAGGATCAGCCAATCCCACTTACGGGATTTCTTCAATGTATACTATAAGGTACATGTGACATGTTTTGAGCCTTCTTTGATTGGGAAAGTGGGGATGAGTTTAACACATTTATCACATGAAATATTGATAAGGTTTTCATAAATGATGGAGACTGTTTGAAAACATGGTATAACTCCTAAAAGACATAATAAACCAGTGATTAAAAAAACCACTCACTTTGTTTTACTGATTTGGTAATGAATATTTTCGGAGGAGATTTTGCCCAATATGAAGAATCCATAGCTCTTGAAGGATGTGGTTGCGAAAATAGTTGCACAAGTCCTGACTTTGTCAAATATTCATGATCATCAACCAGATTAAGGCAAACATTTCTAGCTTTAATTGATGCACTACCACTCAATCTGAAAACAACAATGAGTATTATAATTGAAACAATATTATGACTTTGGAGAAAGAACAAAATTATTGTATTTGTCAAATTCAGAAGTATACTAATAATTACACACTCACTGCAATATTTAATACATTTGTTTGGAGTATTTCATCAGTTCGGACTTCCATTGTCTAATATGATATAAATTGATTTGAAATCTCTGAAAGAATCTGTAAAAAAAATTAAAAAGATTAGCTGAAAAAACAATGTTATTAAGCAAAAAACTGAAATAACAATGAAATAACATACAAGCAACAACAAAAAAAAAACCAAAAAAATTGAACTATCAACACGAGCTGAAAAAATCAATAAAATTATTAACAAGAAATGAAAATTGAAAAATATAAAATTAAAATATTCCAAAACCAAGTTACATCACGACGTTTCGATTTAGTATTCACAATCGCCTTCGGGTGAAAACTGGACTTATTCCTTCAATATCTGACTATTTATAGGTAATTCGACTGTTACATCACGACGTTTCGATTGTTAGTATTCACAATCGCCTTCGGGTGAAAACTGGACTTATTCCTTCGATATCTGACTATTTATAGGTAATTCGAGTGCTTTCACCTATCCCCTCTTCCCTCTCTCCGCTTTATTGGTTTTTAGCGGGAGCTGACCGTTTGGTGAGAGTTGGTCGTGTTCCGCTTGATTAGAGGTTTCCATATATTACGTATATCTACGCTAGTTTGGCTAAATGCGTTGTTGGACAACATATATGTGGCTTCTTTGAATTGTCTCGTAAACCAGTGTTCCTCCTTGTGGATGATTTCAGCTTGAGCCCACTTGATGTTATTTTGATGAGGCCAAACATGCTCTGCTATTCCAGATTTGCTGGTTTCCCCTCGCTGTGTGTGTTTTTTGTGCTCGGCAATACGAACTTTCAATGGTCTCTTAGTTTCACCGATGTATGATTCTCAGCACTCGCAGGGTATCCAGTAAATGCAGTTCTTGGAATCGCAGTCCGCGTTTGGTGGCCTGGTTTTCGTGAGACTACTACGGATAGTGTTCCCAGATGTGAAGCAGGTTCTGATGTTATACTTAGACACAATCCTTCTTATCCTTTTTGACAATCCTCTGATGTAGGGAAGTACACGTACTGGTTGTGGCGGCTTCTCTTCCTTGTGAAGCTCCTGCTGTCTTCTAGCTAAAGCCTGTTCCACCATTTCTTTGGAGTAACCACTCCATTGAAGGTCATTTTTGATGATGCCTAGTTCCTTTTCGATACCTTCCTTCGTATTAGTCGATTTATGGTGGTTGGATTCCTGGTTCAGATACTGTCCCATGTGAATAGGTTTTCGATATACAAATGTTTCCCATTTAGTGTCGGTCCTCTTCACCAATACGTCTAAGAATGGTAATTCGTTGTGGACTTTCTTCTCCATTGTGAAAGTGACGGAAGGACTTACGTTGTTGATGTGCTTCAGGAAAGTGTCTAGTTCTGCATTCCCATGGTTCCATATTATGAAGGTGTCGTCCACGTATCTAAACCAGACTCGGGGCTTCTTGTAGGCTTGTTCAATGGCAAGAGTTTCAAACCACTCCATATATATATTTATATCATATTAGACAATAGAAGTCCGAACTGATGAAATGCACCACGAAACATTATCAACCACCTTCAAACATTTATTTGGAGCATATAGTATAAACCTAAAATAATTTCTTGTACACTTCAGTACCAGGCTGCAAAAGAAAATTATTTTGGAGTCTATAGGGTGAGTAGATGAACAAAGCGTTATCGCTGTTTGAAAGAAAACGAACCGAGCGCGCATGGAATGATATGAGAACAATAATAATTGGGTATGGAGGTAGTTGTTTCGAAACACATCAATCAAATGCTATACAGAGTGTACAGCGTTAGAGACAAAAACATGGCTGCCTGCGTTGAAGAAAAAAATATGAACGCCATGGAGTTTTACAGGGTGTATGCAGCGTTAAAGAAAAAAAACATGATTACCAGAAGAAAAAAATATGTCTGCCTGCGTTAAACAAAAAACATGGCTGCTAAAGTTGAAGTAAAAAAATATGGTTGCCAACGTAAAAGAAAACACATGGCTGCCATCACGGTATAGTGTGTGTGCACTGTTGAAGAAAAGCTGCCATGTGGGTATACAGGGTGTGTGCAACGTTAAAGAGAAAAACATGGCTGCTAACGTGAAAGAAAAAACATGACTGCTAAAAAAATCATAAGGTATACAGGGTGTCTCAAAATACATCATTGAAGAAAGAAGTATGGCTGCCATGGACCTATAAGGGGGAGCAGCGTTAAAGAAAAAAAAACATGGCGATCGCTTTTCGAAAAATCATAGGGTATACAGGGTGTTGTTTGAAAACACACCGATCAAATGCTATACAAGGTGTGCACCGTTAAAGAAAAAAACATAGTTTCCAACGTTGAAGTAAAAAACATGGCGTCGATTTGTACAGGGTGTCTCAAAATACATCATTTAAAAAAAACATGAAATCAATGTGTACAAGGTGATACAGGGTGTGCGTTAAAGAAAAAAACATGGCGGCTGCTTGTCAAAAAATCAAGAGATATACAGGGTATTGTTTCAAAACACACCAATCAAATGCTATACCAGATGTGCTGCGTTAAAGAAACAACATGGCTGCTAACGTAAAAGAAAAAACATGGCGGCTGCTTGTCGAAAAATCATAAGGTATACAGGGTGTTGTTTCAAAACACATCAATCAAATGCTATACAGAGTGTGCAACGTTAGAGAAAAAACGTAGCTGCCTGCGTTGAAGAAAAAAATATGAATGCCACGGAGTTTTACAGGGTGTGTAAAGCGTTAAAGAAAAAAACATGATTACCAGAAGAAAAAAACATGTCTGCCTGCGTTAAAACATAAACATGGCTACCATGGAGGTATAAGGGTATGTGCAGCATTGAAGAAAAAGCATGGCTGCTAAAATTGAAGTAAAAAATATGATTGCCAACGTAAAAGAAAACACATGGCTGCCATCGCGGTATACAGAGTGTGTATGTGTGTGTGTTTGTGTGTGTGTTTGTGTGTGTGCACTGTTGAAGAAAAAAACATGGCTGCTAACGTAAAAGAAAAAACATGACTACCAAAAAAATCATAAGGTATACAGGGTGTTTCAAAATACCTCATTGAAGAAAGAAGTATAGCTGCCATGGACCTATGAGGGGGAGCAGCGTAAAAGAAAAAAAATATGGCGATTGCTTGTCGAAAAATCATAGTGTATACAGGGTGTTGTTTCAAAAAACACCGATCAAATGCTATACAAGGTGTGCGGCGTTAAAGAAAAAAACATAGTTTCCAACGGTGAAGTAAAAAACATGGCGTCGATTTGTACAGGGTGTCTCAAAATACATAATTTAAGAAAAAAACATGGCGACTGCTTGTAAAAAATAGAAAGATATACAGGGTGTTGTTTCAAAACACACCAATCAAATGCCATATAAATACATCATTTATGAAAAAACATGTTTCCGTATGTGTTATATCATTGAGAAATATATATACATATAAAGTGTATACATTTATAAATTATTATGAGAAAAAGAATGAATATTTCGGTTATCATTTAGTGAATTGTGTCATCATGAAGACGAGGGGATACATAAGCACCATTTATTGTCGATGATAGTGACCAATATATGAATTAACGAAATTTTGGATCTTTGCGATTCATAAACATTGAGAAAGAAGAAAACTAATGATAAATTCGAGTTACCCATATCGAGGAGAGTCCAAATTTACAACAAAATGGTCATTTCCGGTTTTCACTTCCAGTCATCCGATTTCGATGATTTTGGCACCAATGGATTTGTCAAAAAACATATTCAAACATTTTCAGAAATGTAAAAGACATAGACATGCGTGTACCCTACTGGAGAACATGAAAATAAAAATCATAGGTATGTAGCATGTGCAGATGAGCAAAGAGGATTCTGTGACAAGAAGTGGCTTATCAGTGTTTGTTCATGTGTATGGCTCGGTTAGCGATGGCATTATCACTGTTTGAAGAGATAACGAAACGAGTGTACTTGGAATTATATGAGAACAATAATATTGGATATACAAGGTGTTGTTTCAAAACACATCAATCAAATGCTGTACAGGGTGTGCAGTGTTGAAGAAAAAAAAACGTGCCTGTCTGCGTTAAAGAAAAAAACATGGCTGCCATCGCGCTATACATGAGTGTGCACAGCGTTGAAGAAAAAATAAGGCTGCCAGCGTTAAACAAAAAACATGGCTGCCATCGCGCTATACATGAGGGTGCGCAGCGTTAAAGAAAAAACAAGGCTGCCAGCGTTGAACAAAAAAACATGGCGCGGTATACATAGTGTGTGCAACATGGCTACCAGCGTTTAAAAAACATATGAATTAATAAAGTTTCCGATCTTCAAGATTCATCGGAAAATAAACACTTCCGGTTCATAAACATTGAGATAGAAGTAAAATAATGATAAATTCGGATTGCCCATATCGAAGAGAGTGCAAATCTACAATAAAATGCTAATTTCCGGTTTTCACTTCCGGTCNGGGATTTGTTTTTAGGGACCTGTAAAAATCATGGTACGCTTTCGGTATTGTTAAATCCTTACACATTTTATCCAGGTCTTTCCATTTTGCCTCGCTGATTCAAAATGGAAAAAGGACATGGTATGATACGTGCATCTCTTATAAGTTGCGCCCACCCCTCAGGGGTATAAACGGGTACATATCTTGTCTTCTTCTCTATTTTCGAGTGAATGGAGTCACACTTCATTTCAGTGTGCCCTGTTTCGAAAAACCGATAATCAATTACTTTCAATGATGGATGTTCCGCCAGAAGTTGGATGCACATGGCTGCAAATATTGAATTTTTTTGCTGGCCTCCACAGCCGTCAGACATCATATGCACTGCTTCGACCTCAGAATGGCTCATAATATAATCATAAACACAGGATGAAATTTCGTTAGCCCCTCTTTTTCCCTTTGTTTCGTCCCACAAGTAGCACATAACATTTTGGTTTCCTAAATTATAGATTGTGAAATTATATACCGCTAGTTTCCTTAAATAAAATATTTGTCCAGCGCATCCTTTGGGAGTTGTTAACACTGCCTGCAAATCAAAATTAAAAGCCAAGACTTTGGGATTCTCTTTTGCTATTAACTTGTCCACATCGCGGGCTTGTCTAGCTTCATTTTTTCTATTGAGATGTTTTTGATACGTTTCGTCTTCTACCCTTTCCTCTTCTTCAGACATGCTTTTGTATGCCAAACATTTCTTACATCGGTCTTTTTTTGGCTTAAAGAAGCCTAAGTTGTAGTCGGAAAATATCTGGCGATATTTCTCAAATGTAACAATTTTCACATTTTCAGTGCTGCACAACTCTTGGTACATCCTGTACATAAATAATTGATACATTAAGAGATGGGTCAAGGTACTTCTTTTCACTAGATTGACGACAATAATGCGATTCTACCGCTGGAAAGGATATAATCTGGTTTCGTATAAATGTTTCAACATTCTGTGGTAATTTGTTTGATGGTTGATGTTTCCCGCGTTTATCTGGTTCTAAAGCTCCATTGGAAGAGTGCTTGTTTGCGGCACTTCGCATAAAGGCGTCTGTCACATTTAATGTGGCCATAAAAAATGCTCTACACACTGTAAGTTTATTTCCATCAACCGTAAGACTATACACACAGGTGTAGTTTTTCCTAGAATTTTCGATACCTCTTGTCGTCCGTTTCTTTGTTTTTTTTTCAATGTGATTATACAGAAATTGACGTTGATCGTCAATGCAGCTCAAATTGCGACTATTTTATAAAACCATTTATATAAAATATCAAGATTATTGAGAATGCAGTTAAACGGACTTTTGGAATGATGCCTTCAGGGCGTTCAGCGTTGTCAAATGTTAAATGGGGGTGGGGGACCACAATTTTTACTGGGTAACATGCAAATGAAAATCGTAGGTATGTAGCATGCATTTTATTCATTTTGGTGGTGTATTATAAAACCATTTATACAAAATATCAGCATTATTGAGACTGCCTTGAACGTACTTCCTTTGGAATGATGAATTCAAAACGATATGTTTTTCTCGAATTTCGGAACCCACCATGAATCCTCAAAGTCTTCAAAATTCACAATTGATGTATTCATTGAATATGTGTATTCTGTCATCCAGAAAGACTTTCTTCTGATGACCACGCACATAAATGATGTTGAGTCATATAGATTTTCCTTGAGAATGTTGTCTAGTAGATGATATTCCACGAAGCTAGAAGAATACTTCAAACCATGAATGTTTTTTTTTCACATAGACAACGCCTTTCCTATCGTCTCTGCTCAAGGAGGAGAATGGTTTCGGCGGCATGACCACAAAATCATTACATTGATTACCGAACTTGATGATAATCTCTTTGAAGTGGAACTGTTGCTCAAAAACAAATTCTTGGATATCAACTAATGGTAGTATCATGATGTGCAACTGTCAACTGATAAAAAACCTTGAATTAGTTCAATTTTCTAAAAATTTCGCTGGGTGGGGGGTGTTCAGTGACAGTGTAGTCCACAATGATGCAATAGGCTCATGTATTTTGGAGCAATCCTTCAGATGCTTCGATTTCAAGTTTTACATCAACACTGAAACTTTTGATGCTTTCATCCCTTCTGGAACAATCGATTACAAAGAGAGATTTGTGTGTAAAGTCGGCGGTATTGATGATTACGTTGATTAGTCATTTTATAGCTAAGATCGAATAGTGCGTAGTTGAAATAGGCCTGCAAAAAATTCATTTTCGCAAAATTCAGATGCATATTGTCTTTGTGGTAATTCTCACCGTTTAGAGTCAACGTTATATTGGTGATATGGTGATATTCAAATGGTCGAATATTGTTGTTTCACTGTTGACTTTAGTGTAATCATGATCTTTTTGGAAACATAAAATCACGGCCCATATTTCATTTTTGGCACCTTGTGTGAGAGCAGGCAGCATATGGAGTTCTCATTTTCTGAACGGTATGAGAATAGGACTTTCAGCTTGGATAGCTTTCAAAAGTTCCAATTTAGTTTCATCAATTTTTTAACTGTTTTTTTTTGTGTGAGCATTTACCATTTTACCATTTTTTATTCTTATTTGTGCTTTAACTGTTAAAGAGTTTGTTCTGAAGTGTTTCGTATTGTTAACACTAAGTAGATGAACAAGGCGGGTACGAGCACAAAATCCCATGTATTTTCTTATGGAGCTAAACTTTTAGCAATTTTCATGACATCCGATGGGAATCTTGTGAAACGCCCAACTCAAAATAGGTGTGTTTCGGAAAGTGGGAGTAAGAAACGTGTGACGTAATCGATGCAGGAATGAGTATCGGGGAGATTCGAAGAGCGTGGGCCCCCTTGTGACTCCGCCCTACCCGCTCGGACCCCTTGGTACTCCGCCTCATTCCAAGGGCCCACTTGGGACTCCGCCTCACCTCTCGGGCCCCTTTGCCACGTACCAGTCACGTGGTCCTAATTAAAAAAAGTTTATCGGTATTAGATTGGAACGTAGGTCGTTGGCGTGGTAGACTTTGTCCTTAGCCTAGACACCAATGTGGAATATTGGAATTAATTGCGAATTGTTGATATTTATAGCGGTTGTTTTATCGGGATCGAAATTGACTCATTCTCATTCTCATACTTGACCGCATTTTTTGATTTCCGTAGAATATTAGGGTAATTGAGACGTCATTGTCATGTAGAATATAGGGAATTATCCTTAGATTTGGGAAATAATTGATGTTTCATAAGAGGTATCTGTGAGAGTGAGAGAGACACACACGTGTGACGTAATAAATGCAAAGAGAGATGGAGATGCTATCGACGTTATACGTCGCTAGCGCAAGCATAACAGTTTCGCTTGTAAAATGAATCATTGTTTATGGGACGATGTGGCGTTGTCGGTTTCAAAATTAGGCATGAACATTTAGGAATACGACTCGATAAAATTGTATGGTATTGAAATGACGACTAGAAGGGTCTTACGTTTTAACGTGCGTTCCAACATGTCAGAAGGACACTAAATCGTAACTTTGTTAACCAAGTTAGCATCATCAGGATAAGGAGGAGATGGCACCAAAGGCGTAGAGGAGTTACGTGTTGTGGAGTTAACGTGGGAGCAATGGGTGAGCGAAGTATTCGACAATGAAATTTCAAAATACGTTTCCTTGGGTACGTTTCGACCGTTTTACATGCGTTTCGATCGTTTTGCGGCGTTTAATCATCATCATTTCGTCGTCATTGACATTTCGAGCGTTTTGACCGTTTTGCGTGCCTTTATTCGTTATCGTTTCCTTTTCCGTTTTTTTTTCAAGGACATATAATCATTAGATGTCAAGGTTAGATAAAAAAGAAGAAATAAAATACATCATTTGAGGACAAAACATGACAGTTTAACGAGGCTATAACGTTTTAACGTGGGATCCCTCAATGTGTCTCAAAGTACATCATTAAAGAAAAACATGGCGGCAATGTAACAGACATTAAGTGGAGCATACAGGGTACGTCAAAATACATAATTTGAGAAAAAACATAACGGTTTAATGAGGCTGTAACGTTTCAACGTGCAATTCCTAAATGTGTACAGGGAGTCTCAGAATACATCATTCAAATTGAAGGGGTTACATTTTCAGTAGTGAATAATTTTTGGGAAAGTTTTTGGCTTTCTACTACTTCATCTTGATACTAAAAAAAAGGTATACCAGTGAGGATGACAGTGTTCCATACATCGATGTATACCAGTGAGGATGACAGTGTTCCATGTAAGTGCAATTTGTTACCATTCACATAAAGTAGAACTCATGTGAATGATATCTGATTTTTATTCCACAGCGAATGTTTGAAATACAAGACTACAAAACAATTAATATTTATACTTACTTATACCCAAATGTGAGGTCAATCCAGTTGTGGATCGTTTCTGAAACATATACACTTTCTAAAGCTTCCCTATGTGTTTTTATAAAATCTTCAGGTCCAGAACACCAAGATGGTACTGCTAAATCAGCTAAATCATCATGAATACTTCTGAAAATACTTGCATCAGAGTAGAACTCTGGTATACATTCATCAGGGGTCCACTCTTGTATTCTTTGTATAGAACTAGGATATTCAGCAGGCACCCAAACTGTACGAACATTTTTACATAATACAGAGATAGAAGTTTGTCTTGCCATGTAAACATAATATGTTATGGGAGAAAGAACATCTGAAACATGATGGGCTACTTGCGATTGGCAATTATTGTAAGTTAGATCTAGTTGATGATCTCCTTTATTCAGGCGGTATTTTGATTTTTTCAGATCTCTCCAGTTTTTACCACATCTTGATGTAAAATCGGTAACCCAGGGAAATACATAGTGGCAGTTTGGATCGCCCCAAATTCTACCAGAAAATTTGTTGAGAAACATTATATAAGTAAAGTTGGATATTTGTCCTTCAATCCATAACATACATAACTGTTCTAAATTCTCATCTGCAACCTGGACTTTATCATATGTCTGAACTCCACAGTTATCACTTTCCGAATCGGTATTAGGTTTTGAACTGTCATTTACACCGGTTTCAAGGTTTTTAGGTAAATTACAAGTTTCAACAAAATTGAAATCTATTTGAGGGAATACATATATCCACATATCCTCGCTTATATAAATGTCCTTTAACTGTACTTCACCCAATGTTAGCGAGCGTTCATGTAATGACTTCAGTATGTTCAGCAGCTGATAAATGAGAAATAAAGATTTTCCATGAGACTTTTCCAAAATTGCAGATGAAAATGTCACACAGTCACTCAAATTGTGCTTCATGTAAGGAAAATGTAACAAAAAAATAGCATTTCTTGTTTCCACGGCACAAGCTGCAGGAAAGATATTTAGTTGTCTCTCATATTGCATGGAATTGTTTATGGTCAATTCTGGATCATATGCATTGATAATAGAACAGCCATAAATTCTTATAATTACTTCTTTCAAAGCAGAATTGTAAGCAACAAGATTAACTTTAGTATCTCTTTCCGATTTTGATGCAGCATACTTTCTGTAAGACTCTCTCCATATATTAATAAAATTCCTTTGGAAAACAGATTCCATAAATTGTGAAAACAACGTTTTTTCTTCTTTGGGAGTTTGCACCCTTGGAAGTGGCAGTACATCACAATCTTTTTTTTTCATTACTGAAATGAATATTTTGACCCAAGATGAATCAATATTCTCTTCAGGCCATTTTTCCTGGGAAGATTTTTTTATAAAAACAGATAACTTCAAATATTTGATCAATGACCTGAAAAGGAGAGAAAATCAGAATCTAGAGAAACAAGAAAAAACTGACTAACTTTAGCCACAATTTATGAACTGAAGCTATGAATCTATCTTCTCTGGAAGTACTCTGAAGGTATGATTCAGGTATGCCTAGTTCTTTGAAAATCTCAGTCATTTTTCACTTTCAATCTCACACATATTTTTATAATCTTGAATTTTGAATGAAATGGCAACCAAAAACTATAATCTCTTTGCCACCACTATCAGTCTTGATCTTATTAGAAGCAATTTGGTAACACATTTCTGTGAGAAAAAGTAACATTTCATGTAAAAAGGTAGTATGAGCAGCTTGTCTTTGGAGACGGATCACTGGAATGTTTTTTCAGTATCCCTAATTTGTGAAAAATAAAATTGACATTGCCTTTTTTCATTCATCAAACAGTCAAAAAGCCGCTTTTCTTTGGCGACGGATCACTGGATAGTTTTGTTCAATGTCCTTAATTTACGAAATAGAAAATTAGCATTGCATTTTTCCTTCCTCATATAGTCAAAAAGCAAATAATGTTAATCACATATCCGATAAACAAATAAATAAACATCACAAACACGAAACTGTCACATATCAAAATTGTCCGTTCTTTGACCACAGAATACATTCCAAAAGAGCACAGAACAGGAACCATGAACTTTTTTAATAGAGAACACTGGAAGGTGATTTTCATTAACTGAAAAAATTGTCGAGTTGTTAGTAAACGTGAATATGGTTAAATGGAGCTAATATGATCAAAATGTTGGCATAACAACCTGCCGAGATGACATCGCGACATTTACTCAACCCAAATCAAATTATATACATAGGATAAGTTCCAAACAGTTTGAATTTACCGTGAAAAGTGGCATTAAACACCACGAACACAGAAGATAAGTCACAGAAACTTGATGATCAAATCAAAAAGGTTTCAGATGAGTGTCTCTTTTGTATTCTGTAGGATATTCTGTGATTATTGTGACAGAACCTATGCCCAAGATGAAACACTCTTGATGAAAATATAACTGAAAAAGAAAATAGGGAAAAAGGTAATTTGGCAACATGATTGGTCAAAAAGTAACATTTTGATACTGAATCAACATCAGGGATAACACTGACTACTGTCACTTGATGAATGGAGATTTCACTACAGTAAAAATAGTGCCCAAAAGTGATCGAGAGCCTGGAGGAAAGAATATTCAACTCATCGGTGTCGAAAGTGCTTACATTTCATTTTCTTCTTATCGTATGCAACAGAACCTCTGCACATGCGCAGTTTCTTATTTCTAATTTCCACTTTCATTACTATGGTAATAAATATATCACTCTCAACAGACACTACTTGAAATGTAGCAGTTTCCTGGAGTATAGAGGTTTCAATCGAAGTTTCAACCGTTGATAATGATGTGAATGTATGTGAAATTTCATAGTTTATCTTTCGGAATCCTTACAAGGAATTAATAAAATAGATTGAATATTCTGGAAAATATACCGCTTTCAACTCAAAGATTAAACATTCATTTACAAGTATAGGAACATTTCATTTTACTACTTGTCCAACAAATTTGAAGTGAATTCTTCATAATTATATAATCTCAAGCATTAAGCAAATATACATATAAATAAATGGTTTGTTAGATGATCAACGGACATTTCAAATATCTGAACTAACATTTTGAAATGATAACTGAAGTTTTATTTTCAGTACGGAATTATGACTATCATAGAAATTTATACAAACCTTATCACACATTGGCACATTGTGCCTAAATCGGCACAATTGTACCCCAAATACCAACACTGTCTATCCATTTAGAATACGAATACGAACACTGCTGTCGTTTATGAAATGCCAAATTTGTACTACATTTGGAAATAAAATGTACTTAATTGAATAAAATTGTACTGAATTCTTCTTCGTATCAGTTGATCTCGATTGGCCACAGATGAGTAAAATATAACTGGCCATTCTACTGTCTAATTTTTCTACTGAAACTTCTTGAATTATTATGGAAATTTTGAAAAATGCATTTTCTTTCAATTTCAAACCAATATTTATTTCTTCAGTTTCAATTCCAGTATCAACCTTTAACTTGAAAGTTTTTCCCAAAATGCGAGTAAGCTTGCTGCTCAGTTTTGAAAGTATTACCTTTTCAGCAGAATCAGGAGTTATTTTCATTTGATAGTAGAGGGAATAAGAGAGAGCTCTAAAGTATTCCCTAGGGGACATCGCTACGTTGATAGTTGTGGTGGTGACTCGTAGAATACCTCATCATAATCATCATCCTTTCTCGTCGTTTCAACAACATCTTCGAGTAGTAAAAATTATGTTTCTTCAAATGCTCGAGATTGATCGAACGGTTCCGTCTTTATTTAATGTTTCTTCTTCTCCTTCTTGACACCGTCACGTCTCAAATGGTCTACCGATTTTTTAGAGATTTCAGCAATATCCTTCAATGGTTTCGATATAGATTGAAAAAACTTTTGCAAAGATCCGTTCTCTTCAGACTTTTCCAATTCCAAAGCTAAATACTTTTTTCTTACACTTTTTGCAATTTCGTTAAATTTTTTTCTTGCGCACAACATCGACTTCTTTACTGAGCGGTTTCAAATTGAGAAATAACGTTTCCATCTCTATTCACGCACATTTGTGTACTTGTCGAAGCCTTCTCGATACCGTCCCTTATTCAAATCACATTCCTTGGCAATGATAAAAGTTATCACGCTAACATTCGACACACATTATCTTGAATTCATCGAAAGACATGTCGGGGGAAACGTGTTCGTCAAATAAATGTTTCAAATTTATTTTTCATCTTGCTTGAACAATAAAATCATGTTGCAATTGTCGCGTATCAGTTGCTTGGGTATTTTGGGACACACATATTTGGCATCAATGCCCTTATGTCGGCAGACGAATTTTCTGTTGACCATCCATCGTAGGCTACATCGTCGAATATGAAAATGGTTTGGCCGCCTCTGGACTCTGAATTTCTCCGTTGTCTTGAAATGGGAAATAATCGACTCCTTTGGTTTTTTCCAATATCTCTCGAAGCAGCTGATATTTAAGTTGATAGAGCGACTTTGAGTACATGTAGCCATTTTCTAATTTGGCTCCATTCGGATGAAATAATATCGATAATGCTGTATTGGTTTTTCCATATCCTGATGGACCACATATGATGGCGCGAAACGAATTGGGCAACAACTTGCCGTGATTATTCCGATACTTGGCACCATCATACAAATAGTCCAAGTTGTCTATGGGTGATGTATTGTCTTGCGAAACGACTTCCATGTTCTGATCGGTGTTTGGGAGATTCACTTCAATATTTAGCGTGAACATTAACGCCATCCATCATTCTCAATGTTGACCTACTACTCCGGTGCAGGTGCCGTCAATTTGCTCATCAACAAACTCCCGTTCGAATTACATTTACCTGGTGATTCGTTTTGCGAAATGTAAGATTGGCATGGAGTGAACCTTTCGACGTAATATGCTCCAACAACAATATCCTACGGATATTAAGAATACTAGTGCTTCGGCTTTTAGAGGAGCTAAAATGGCATTGAGTCAAACTGGAGGATATAAAAACATACAGATACCTAGGATAATCCCATTCGAAGCAAAATCTGGAGAAATCTTATCGCTCATACTTATTTTCGCTGCCCTTTGAGCTTTGGGTTCTTTGTTGGAGGGAGCGAGCGCCATCGCAAAAACCATGATGGATGCAAAAAATGCCAAGTTGCGTAGGTATATCTACGCTTGCTTGGCTAAATGCGTTGTTGAACATATACACAATTGTCTTCGGGTGATAACTGAACTTATTCCTCCGAGATCTGAGAGATTACAGATTCTTTCAGGGATTTCAAATCAATTTATATTATTTTAGACAATGGAAGTCCTAACTAATGAAATGCACCACGAAACATTGTCAAGCACCTTCCAACAAACGAAGAAATAATGATCTATTTGGAATTGAAACGGAAGTAAGCTATTTATAAAAATAACTCATCACCATACATTTCAACATTTTCCGAAAACCACAAAACGATGAAACCATATAAAAGGTAGAATGGCGGACCTACTAACCTTACGTAAAGTCTTTTCGCAACAATGATGTCATTGAAATCAACATTAATCAATCCGATGCCTATGATGTTTTGTACGATAGCCTGCTATTCATCAGCGGAAAAATTGAGAGGACCAAGGGAGATGGTCGGGTGACCTTCGTGAACAATGCTGGTTGTTTCAATCTGCTACCTATTAGCAGAATGGTAACGAATTGGAAGTGGTTCGTGAAGTTGTGAGAATTACCCCTAAGAAAATATGCATCTTAATTTTGCGAAAATGGATTTTTGCAAGCCTATTTCAACGCACAATTCGGTTTTAGCTACAAAATGATCAATCAACACAATCCTCTCATCAATACCGCCGACTTCACACAAAATTCTCTCTTTGTCATCGACTATTCCAGAAGGGATGAAAGCATCAAAAGTTCCAGTGTTGATGTAAAACTTGAAATCGAAGGATCTGAAGGATTCCCCCAAAATACACGAGCCCATTGCATCATTGTGTAAGGAACTGTCATTGAACACACTCCCTCTCCCACACCTCAATCAAAAAAAAAAAAAGTTGAAACTTTAGAATTAGTTGCAACGATTAAGGATTGTTAGTACTGTACAAGTTGTCATTGGTGGTGGTGGTTGGTGCCTGAGAGAGCAGATGTCTGTCAGCCCCAGCGAAACTGTGATAATCCTCTTCACCAGGAGAAGAAAATTGGACGATATAACATCACTTTCTCTCAATAGTGAGGTCATTCCATTTGGAACGGAGGTGAAATATCTTGGCATTGTCCTTGATAAAAAAACTCATCTGGAACGTCCACTTGGAAAAAGTTTTATATAAAGTCAGACTGTCCCTATGGACAATATCTCATGGAGTGTAAGGAAAATGATCAGCAAGAGCGATAAGAGAAAGAGGACAAAGAAATGGATCAAGGAAGAATGGCAGCGAGAATGGGATAACGGCATGACTGGGCGACTGCTCTACAGAGTCTGTAGAACAGTCGGGTATGAGTCACTGGATCTGTCGCGGAAGGCAGTTCAGCTGTTCACGGGGCACGGTAACTTCCCGGGATACCTGGCTAGGTTTAACCTGGCGCCGGAGTAGCCGTACCCCTGTGGATGGGATACAGATACCTAGGATAATCCCATTCGAAGCAAAATCTGGAGAAATCCTATCGCTCATACTTATTTTCGCTGCCCTTTGAGCTTTGGGTTCTTTGTTGGAGGGAACGAGCGCCATCGCAAAAACCATGATGGATGCAAAAAATGCCAAGAAGAAACTCGAAGAAGATCAACGCCACAATGAAGCTTTGGAATATTTGGGTTCTGGTTTGTACCTACGCAAAACACAACGAGGATATAGTCTGTTTCTTAAAAAACAACATCAACAACACAAAGGACGACGTATTTAATTGAGCATTAAATGATACGGAAATTTAAAAATGTGATAATTCCGCATTTTCGAGGAGTCTTTATGCATGATGCGTTGCCAACTTGTGGTCCTCGGCTGCAAGAATGTGCGATTGT